ATTCACTCTCAAATTTCTTTGTTTTCTCTTTGCCTTTGGTCTTTCTTTGGAACCATTAGGTGGTGGAGCTGAGTAGTTGTGTTGGAAGCTAGCAGAGGCGCGGGTTTTCTTTCTTCTTTGATGAGTTTCTCCGTCCGTCCTCCATCTTCTTCTCCTTTCTTCTTCCCGAAGCTCGGATTCTTCGCACCGAGGTAAGGGAAGCTAGTTCTTTGGCTGATTTTGTTGGAAATGGGTTCATAAACTCATTGAGTGGCTGATTTTCTGATGATTGATGAGTTGTTTTGATGAAAACGGGTTTTCGGGATTTCCTGGGTTTAGATGAAAATTCGGGGGATTTTCTTTGTTTGATGTTGCATGTGTAAAAAGGCATGCTTTTTGAGATGTTGGTTGAAAATGTGATGTTTTGGGCCGATTGCATGTGCTTGGGATGTTGATTTTTGCAGGTTTTGGGTGAAATTTTCGAAATGGTGAGGCTTACTGTTTGAAGTTGCGCCGGGCTCAGTTCTTCGCGCCGGGCATGATTTGAAATGGGAAATCTCTAGTTGAGATTTGCGCCGGGAGTGCGTTTGCTTTTCAGAATTTGACTTTATAGTCTTCATGAAAGTTGTAGCCTTGGATGTTAGATTTCCAATGGCGCTAGAATCACCCAAAAAGAAGTTCTAGAACTTCAAATATGGTTATTTTAGTGAAGAGGGGTCAAGCTACCAGCATTGCTGATAGCTGTTGCAGTTTTTATCATTTTTAACAAGGTATATGAAGGAATTATGACTTGGTGTCTTATTGAGAGTTGTAGGAAATCTTCTTATCTTTCATATGAGATAAGGATGAGCATAGTAGGAGTAGTATAACTCCTGATGCGCTGTTTTCTGTGAAGGTTGCCATTTCACATTTAGTGATTTGGTTTAAGTTGAAAGTTGTTTTAGGTGCTTAGGTTGATTGATGTTGTTTGGGTGGGTAATTTGACAAGATAGATGAGTTGTAAGCAAGATGGATGAGCCGTATTATGTGTTGAATATGCTGTATGTTGTTGAGCTGTTATTGCTGTTAAGCTGAGCTGTGCCGAATGTTGTTTATGCTAATGATGAATGTTGTTGAGCGGAGTGATGATTTTGATGTGCTGTGAGATGTTTATGCTGCATTATGATGTTGAGCTGTAATTGATGAATATTGCTATGTTGTGAGTTGTTAAGCTGTGTTGAATATTACTAGTTGGGATGTAAGCTGTTATTGCTGTAAGTTGTTAATGCTGTATGTTGTTATTGCTGAAATGATGTATTGTATAATGTTGAGCTGTGTTGTTTAGCTGTGCTGGATGCTGATATTGCTATGCTGTAAGTTGTTGAGTTGAGTTGTATGCCGTTATTTCCGCTATGCAGTGCTGTTATTGCCGCTATGCGGTGCTGTTATTGCCGCTATGCGGTGCTGTTATTACTTTTATGCTGTGTTATGCTGCTTGCTGATATAAAATACGGCCGTATTGAAGCTTCAATACAGCCGCAGTGAACTCAATACGGCCATAT